TAAAAATAAAATGTTAATTGAATTTTAAAGAGGGTTTTTTCCGCTCTCTTTTTTAATAGAGGGTTATATTGTTACAGAACACTGTTATGCTAATGACTAACTATTTAGCTGATTTTACATTAATATAATAAACATTACCTGTCTTAATGTGTTATATGGTATTGTGGCAAAATAGTTGTCTAAAAATGAAATTCCATTTTTCATAATGATACAGAATGATCGTTTCTGCATGAATAGTTCTAGCAGTTTAGCTTTGTTGTTGTTGTTGTTTTAAAGACTGAAATATTATGTCAGAAATATTTTACGCTCCCAGGATGACTATGGGTACTGTGTTCAGTACTTTATTATTTTAAAAGCATCAGATACAGACTGCGGCATTATGCTTTTCTGTTTGCCAATACATCAGTGGCCTGTCTTCTCTTGTAGTGTCACCAAAGTTATTTTTTTATGTTGCTTCACTTGAAGGTTTCTGTATTTTGTATTTTTCACATTTTAGTCTTATGATAGGCACTCAAGTTAATGGTTATTTATTTATACAGCTCTATTTTCCATGTAGTCCACTTTTTTAATTGCTGCTCTATCCTTCATTCTTTCTTTTTATGCGTTCAGTTATATTTTTGCTCCATTTAACTTTTGGCAGCAAAGCCTTCATCCAAAGAAACACAGTCTTCAAATCCAGATACTTGGCATAGTAACTTGATTTGTGCCAAATTTTAACACACTGTCACAAGGGATGAGGATTTTGCTGACAAAGATTTTAGTTTTGTGGGTTTTTTAACTAAAGAAATCATCCACCTCTTAAATGTATTGTGATAGTTAACAATAAATAGTACAACCAGCTCCAGTAATGAGATATGTGCAAATTGCATTCTGTGCTGGTTTATTCTGTATACAAGTTTTAACTAGCTGAAAATATTTGGTTAGTATTTAATTATGTTAATATAAGTGCAAAGGGAAAAATGGATTATAATCTTTTTCTTCCTCTTAACTCTATCCTATTTAGATAGAACAGTGCCAAATGCGTCATTGGTGTAACTCCATTGTTACATTGAGGATGAACTTGGCCCAAGTTCTTTAAGTTTTTCTTTTCTTTTTCTTGGTAAGCATCCTATAACATGGTATATGGCAGGGCTGAGGAGATGGCCCAGAGTGGAAAGGATTGTTGTGGAATCCCGAGAAATAGCAAACAGAGTCTTGAGAGAAATATAAAGAGTCTGAAAGCAATTGTTAGTATTAAAGACATTTTTTGCCGTTGATGATATTAGGATGTCAGCAGGTCTATACTAGTAGAGTTCCAAAAGCCAAAATGCAGCTGTATTTTTACCTCCACTGCCAGATTTACATGCACCTGGGTGTCTCCCACACCCTATTGTTATCAGTCAACAATTCAGCATACAGTCTATTAAATATACCAACAACAACAACAATACTGTGTCCTTCTGAAAATAGAAATAAACAACTCATTAAGGGTGATTTCTATTGTTCTTGGTAAGTTAGCATTCTCTATATGTATCTGCCAGTAGTTTAATTTGAACTTCAACTCCCTGAAGGCAGAAAGACAGAATTATTTTAGTTCTTCATAAACTGCCTTCTGTGATTCATTGTTAACTCATAAAACACATTCATTTTCATGTGCTTAAACAGGTAAGCCATTTTCAGTGTAGGTTTATAATTATAATTGTTTTTGTTTTTGGCAACACATTTAAATTGACAATTGAGAGAGAGAAATCTAAAACTAACAGCCCCCAGTTCAGGTGTGACTTACTATCACACAACATATCAGCAATAAATATTTTTCTCTGAAGTAATGTAAAGTATATTGTACAGTATCTTAAAATAAAGTTTAATTTTGACTGAATACACTCAAAAAGGGATCTATAAATATTAGAGAGCTGTAGTTAAGAACTTACATGACTGTTTTAAATACTATTGATTTAAACCACTGGCTAGATTTTATGAATCAAAGTGTAATTTCCAAGCTTTGGCTATATTTCTCAACTCTAAAGCACTCTCTCTTGTGTGCCTTTAGCAGCTTTCCAGACATTCAACACGGGATTAAATGATAGTAGTTACAATGATCAATAGGTTAAGACCGGTACAATCACTCTTACCGCTAATGACCTCAGTAGTAATGGGTAATAAAGTGTGGGCTATAATAGGCTATTGCTGGTGCTGCATGCCCTTTGATTCCTAGTATTACTAGGGACTAGCTACAAGAAAAAGTTGGACGTTGGGAGTTAAGGGAGTGGATATATAGGCCATAATTCTTAACTATTTAAAGTCCTTAAACTGTGCTCTTTTTTTTTTTCTTTGACACAATAGTTTCTGGTCCATTTGAATATGTTTGTTAAAGGTTTCCATAAGTTATTTTCATGATATGCTGGAGCAGAAACTTTGGGTAAATCTAATTTTTATGACGTTTATAAATTAAAGGCAGAGCCCTCTTTAGCAGTACAGAGCTAGCTGGTGTGACAATGTGGTTTCAGATGATAAAAGTAAGTTGAGCTCATCAGCACGCTCCTGCTGTCTGAAAGATGCCATATATGTGTTTTCTGCTACCTGTAAAACATTTCTGTTTTAGCAAAGTATTAACAGTTTCTCTTTAGAAATTCTTCATTGGAAGGTACACAAACACTTCTCAAATATAGGGGCAAATCTTGCCCTTAGACCCATGTGCACAACTCCCATGGAAGTCAGTGGGAGTTGTCCATCCATAACCAAGGGCAGAATAATGTGGCCCTTAGTATTAATCACTGATTTGTAGGGTTTTACAGCACCCCACCCTGTTCCTGTCTGTATCCCTGGTTGTTGTCAGAAATCTGATTGAAGAGTATTTGTATTGTATATCTTCCAAGAATAGCACAGAAAACATACTTAAACATGCTTCCTTCTCTGTTTGCTCAGTCATACTTCAATAAAAGATAGTGTAAACCTCAAGGAAAAGTAAACTTCTTTTGGGATGGAATAACAAAGACAAGTAAAGCTTAAAGGCTAGTATGGTGACTACCAAATATAAGTAAAAAAATTCTACTTTGAAAAAGTTATTTTAAAAATCACATGGATTAGGATACTCAGAATTAATGAGTTTACTGACAAATGATTGAGGCTTCTCAGGGTCTGTCTCAATTGCTATGGCACTTCTGTAGTGCAATTGCTGTCCAGTGTGTTCACTATAGAAATACACATACAGCTAAATCCTGGTCCCAACCAAGTCACTGGGAGTTTCACCATGGACTTCAATGGAACCAGGAATTGTCCTTTAATTAAATCTTTATTTTCATAGTTATCAGATGTGACTGTCTGTTGGATATTATGGTGGGTTGTCCAGATGAATACCATAGTGCACATTCAGAAGCACTCTGTGATACTGAGAACTTCTGGGTGACATTCCAGTGCCATATAAATGAGATGTCAAAAGTACGTAACCATTTTTTGGACTTTTTCAAACAAATGTCTTAAAAGCAGTTCCTGGGAATTGCACATAACATGTACATAACAGCACTGGAGGATGTGCACTGTACGTGAATCTGACCTTCAGGAACCATTTTTAGTTCATCAAAATTAGTGATGCTGAGAAATCAGGACATCAGTGCATAATGACTGTGAAATTAGGAATGAGAGCTTGCTATGCAAATGACAGGACAAATCATGTGAAAAAGTCAAGATAAACTGCATATTAAGACATTATGTTACATAAAATTAATACTGCATTTCTCTCTTGCTTACTACTACTCTGAAAGATTTTTTTAAAAACTCTTTTATCTTCTGATCAGCTATTGTCTGCTGATTTTTAAAAAGTGGTGCGCAGAGAAAGTGCAAAACATGTTATTACCTTTTATTGTAATACATGAGATGACAAGAGATCCTTTTTAACAAAGTATATCCTTTACTGCTTTTAGTTCTGTGCTGTCACATATTTGATTTGAAACTAAAGAAAAGTAAGGTGCTTAAATATTACTGTTAAAAGTCATATGGGTTTTGTCTTTTTGCTCTATTGTTGTTTTTTCTTTCTATTTTTTCCCTTTTTTATTATTTCTAGTGAAATAGTCTTCTTGCATTACTGGGACTGACAAAATGGTTCTCATGTAGTCTGCAAATTAAATACAAGTGCAGTGATTATTTTGAATAGCTAAATTACATTCTAGAAAGCTTGCAGAATTCATAGCATTGTCATTAGGTATCCGCTTGAATACAATTTGTGTAACCTTGGCCAAGACAGCCTGTCATTTTAATGTCAGTGTTTTATCTGAACAAGACATCATCCTTTCAGATACAGTGTACAGGTTCCTTGCAGAGATGCCCGTGCAGAAACGTGTTAACAGTTGCAAATATGAAATGCTATCAAGTTCATCACTGTAGCTGTTTGTCACTGAAATGTCATGGAAAGCGGCTTTTAATGGTATCTCACGTAATATGAAAGAATTGAAGACATCTGTATGCTGGGTGAATATGGAATGGTAAAGACATCGTAGTAGGGTCTTTCTGTTAAAATTGCATAGGAACATAGGTGCTGTTAGTCGCATCTCTGAGCTTTCATTCATTTTCTTAAAATCATTGTCTTACGAGGGTCTAGATCCCATCAATGTGGGACACCACATTGTTTTTTCTTTTTTGTGTGTGTCTGTTTTGTTGAGCTGACTGTTTCTTCTACAAATATATCTATCTTGACAGCTTATTCATATACTGAAATAATTTTCATTGCAATAATGTTTTGGAGAAAGAGGCTGTAGTTGGGAGAAAATAAAATCAGTGCTTTCATGTTTACTCCAGTGGGCTCTAGAAGCTCTTGCGCTTTTCAGTACTTTGACACTACAGAGGAGGAGAAGTAAGCAATACAGCAGAAAACAGGATGGTGTCTGAACCAGTTCCGTAGACATAGCAATGGACAAATAATTATCAGGATAAAAAATAAATGCTCAATATTAAAAAGTAAAATAAACGGTAGTAGAACTCTTTACAAAGTGTTCTGACTTCTTATGCCCACTGTGTTAATGCTCTAGGTTCCAGTGTCAGTGGCTATGATGACACCTCAAGTTATCACTCCCCAACAAATGCAGCAGATCCTCCAGCAACAAGTGCTAACTCCCCAGCAACTCCAGGTCCTGCTCCAGCAGCAGCAGGCACTCATGCTTCAACAGGTAATTGTTTCTTTTACAGCTGGTCAGATGGCTATTATAGGTGTGCTAATGTCCTTAAATATGCCTGTAGTGAAAGCTGCCTACATACTGGAGCACATATCTTATAGTACCTGTGTCTGGGGTGAGCTGATTCCTCTGTTGTACTTAAAGCTAGTGATTGGTATTGAAAACGTAAGGGCAGGGACTAACGCTAGCAGCCTTTCCCAGATAGCTACATAAAGATACATGTTTAAGAAACAAGAATCCTACAGATGCCGCCATTGCTCACACCTGCATTCTCCTTGGCGCATCACTTCCTTCTGACTAGTTGGAATAAACGAAGAATATAGTAGAGAGGTGTTTTCAGTTCTAAAACGTATTAAACCCATATGGAACAATAGGGACTCTCAAAACCACGTCAACCGAAACGTGGCATATTTGCAAGCTTTAACCCTTGAATGTCAATAAACAAATGTATTGTGGAGTATCCGTTTTCCTGGGTACCCAATTCAACATGTGAGCCTGTGTCAGCTAAAAGTTTGCAACAAATGAAGTATGGTTTTAAAGTTTACTTATCTTAATGTGCTGCACAACATTAATTCCATGATGACTTTAAAGGCCACTACAAGCTAACCTTGTGTACTCTTTCCTCACTGTCACTCTCTCACTCATTCATTCACTGAGTGGATATCTAAACTGCATACATCTACTATCCATCTGGGAAGTGGGGAGGGGGAGGGGTATTATCTGTGATGTCTATGTATGTATTGAACAAAACTTAATACAGTCAAACCCTATCATTTAGAAAGCATGTATATGTTTCACAACAGAGATTTACCAGCCTCTCTCAGCAAGGGCATTTTGGCTTTGTTGTTACAATCAAAGGTCATTCCTTGCCTTATTTTAATTAGTTTGTGTAGAAAATGGTATGTTTTTCATCAGTTCATTTTGGAGATTACTTTTCAAACGATAATGCCAAGAATAGTCAGTGTGCACTGAATTTATTGTCAAGTTTCAAACTAAAGGTCAGACCATTACAGATAAAAGGATGCTGTTTTTCAAATTACAGTTTGTGTGTTACACCAAAAGGGACACTGAATTGTCCCTCCACTTTGTTACTTACCGTGTTTCCTCTTCTTTATAGCAGCAGCTTCAAGAGTTTTATAAGAAACAACAGGAACAGTTGCAGCTTCAACTTTTACAGCAACAACATGCTGGAAAACAGCCTAAAGAGGTACAGACAATACCCATTTTACTTTCAAACCACAGATCCCAGGGGACTGCCTAGTGGCTATTAAACTGTCATTCATCTTATAAATGATTACACAACTGAGCTGACTCTATCAGGTCTCAGCTTTCAGCTTTGGAGTGATTGTCCTGTTTTCTCTTTTATTTTCTTGCGCTTTCCATTTGCTTGCTGCCACATATTTTATAGCACAACATCACACCTTGCTGTTTGGTGTGAGTATTGGAACAAGTATCTTGACTAGTGTCTTTGGAGAGAGTTTTTTGGAAGAGAGTTATTGTACACTGGGTGAAAATAAGGATGCAGTAGTCAAGATGCTGTGCTCTCAAAGCAGGGAAATAGTTCAAGAGGTTTTGAGAGCAGGTTCCCTGTATCAAGGCAGAGGCTCAGATTACACATTTGTCATAGTTGTAACTTAGAACAAGAACTGCATTTAAGGAACATTTGTTGTGACACAGACCAACAAAATCTGAGATGCAAAGATAAGACTGAAGGGCCATCTCAACTCCTCACATTGTGCCTAGCTATTACAGCACACGTGATCTGTATAATAGCAGGAGACATCGATCTGTTGTCACTGCAATACATGGACAGAGTGGGACAAGTTAGGGCCAAAAGTCTGTCTGAACTTTGAATACACTTGCTTTTCTAAACTTCTATCACAATCAGAACTTTGCATCGTTTATAGCGATATTATTATTATTTAAAATTTAAGAAACCAAAATTCCTCCTTGAAGTGACATGAGAAACTATGTAAATCCATGTTCAGGAACCTGAACATTAGTAGTCAGTGGCATTAGTGCCTGGATGGACACCTCTTAGTAAGCTGCTTCTTGGCACAATATGCTGTGTAATGCCTTTCCTAGCGGTGAGGCGTTCCTGTCGGTGTGGCAGGCATGCTGCGCAAAGTACACATAATAAAAATGGCCCGACCAATTTTTTTTCTTTTCTTTTCAAATTTGGCGAGTTGTACCATCCATGCCACATTTCAACCCAGTCTGAATTTTTACAGTTGAGCTCTAAACCACTGAAAATAGGGGGTTTATAGTGGAAACGCTGACACAACCTTAACTACAATGTGCGAACGGGCGCCACTCTAATAAAAAAGGAACAGATTAAAAAGTGTCTAAAATGTAAATCTAAAGGACTAACAGTAATTAAAATGGAAATGGCACAGGGAGGGAAGGCATGTAATTGTGAGATATCACTGTGCAGAATGCTCTCAGCTTTGTTTTGCTGGCTGTTTTTCTAATTCAGTAGGGCTTACTCATCAGTGGCAGTTCAATGTGCGTTAATGACTCTGGGATGCAGGCATCACTCTGGACAAAGAAATGATTATTGTGCGGTCAAAAGAAGTTCAAAGACAAGAAGGGAATTTCAGTTTTTTCCTTAGAGATCCACATTCAAGAGCATATAAATTAAGCCAAATGTTAAAAACCACAGTCTGAAAGCTGACTTCAAAGTCACAACTCTCTAATTAATGAACTGCAAGCTTCAGTTTGGACAAGTCGTGGTTTGATGCGCCCATAAATCAACATGACAGGTCTGTTTCACAGTCTCAGACAGTGCTTGTCATTGAGTCACATCAGATGTAAACACAGCAGAAAAAAGAGGGAATATGAAGGAGGTGCAATTGATCAACAGAATTGGTAAAAACCCACTTTTGAAGCGCATTATGCATGATCACAGGAAATGGCTATAGCCTCAAGAGGCTTTCTCCTTCTGCTGTTGCTTTTTTGAATCAGATTTCTAACAGCCTTCAAAAGGGAGAATAAGAATTATGGAGCTTCTCCCCTGTGGCTGGCAAGCAATAACCCCCTGTTGTTATTTTGTGCTTCTTTCTTTTCAAAGGCGTCAAAATTTAGTTTTTTAAAGATCTTTAACTCTATATTTGAAGACAAACAATAAAGGGCTGCCACTGTCATTCTTATCAGTTACCAGGGATTGTATTTTTTCTTTCTGTTGCCACTTCTTATTAACCTCTTATTTGGTCTATTAGACATAGTTTTGAATGCAAGCCTGCATGCTGGGAGAACATGAAAGTTCAGATGAGCTCAGAGGGCAGATAAAGAAATTTGAAGGGGAAAGTTACACAGCAGAATGAACGATAAAAGTTAACTCTTCTAAATTGCTGTTGTCAGACAGGAGAGCATCTCCGACACAAAGATGATGGCTTGAAGTTGAAAGAAAAAAAATACTTTGTGTTAAAAGGCAAGAAGGGAAGTTAGACAATGTGATGGCATTTTAATATCTAACACACTGATTTACTGTGGTCACACTTCTGATATTGCACTGTCCAGAGTTACAATAAGAAAAGACTCCTTCCTGTTTTAAGAAGAATATTATAATATAATAGACATAGGAGAATAAGGGTCCAAGACTCTTTTCCTTTTACTACTTTTTTTTCCCCTGATGATGTTAGTTAGAGGCCTGTTTCAACAATGCATTTCATCCCACAGGTTTTTCAGCCCCATTTTCCTGAGCTAAAGAGGGTGTTCTTACTAAATTAGCATGCAGTTGGTGGTCCTTTTTTGTGCTAAAAATGACAATAGAGTCACATGCTAGCAATTTTGTGATGTGGACTGGTGGTTATGATTTTAACATGGTTTGAACTTGGACATTGACAGATGGAACAATCCTATTAATTTACTGTATCCCCCAGTCATTAGTGGCTCATAATATTGCACCATCAGTTTACCAAAAAAAAAATCCACCACCAAAACCCTGTTAGTCAGAGAGATTTGACCTATAACCAGGACAATACGCAGGACTTCTGCGACCTTTTCTTTTACGTTATATTAAGGGGAATTTACAGCTTGATGCAGAGCAAGTTCCCATTAGTGATTGCAAGAGCTCTTTCTATAACTCACTGCAATCTTTAAAAAAAAAACCAAAAACACTAGCTCATCTAGTCTACAAAACTGATTCCCTGATACCTGACAGAACTGACTTTGAGAAGCAGCGGACAGAATTATTTTCTAAATAAAGGTAGCAGAAGAATCCCATTTTGTGTGTTCAAGTTGGGCTAAGAGAATTGTTTTAAAAAGGCCGTTTGTCCTCCAGCAGTTTTGACAGTTTATGTTAGGCGGTAGGGAGTAACCTAAGAAAGGAAAACAGACCTTTGACAGAAGCTTATGGGAGGGGATCAAAAATGCAAGTTTTATCAGGATATTTCAGCATTTTAACACTGACTACTGACCTGACAACAGGACTGCACTGAGACCTTTTTTGTATGCATTCAATTGTGAGAAGTAAACAAACTGACTTGTATCCTGTGTTTGGTAACTGGGTGGGGAGCACAGTTTGGCAACGTGTGTTGCTTTTAAATTCTTTCTTGGACAATGGGCCTTGTATACTTTTATATCCTGGCTTTTCAAATGTAGAGAGCTTTCATGAGCTTTTCTTAGGGATAGCTGAGAAGAGAACCAAACAGGCATCAGTCAATTTATATAAATAAAGTGTTGTAAAATCTTAATTTACATTAGATGGCAAGTAACCAACATGTCCAAACCAGGGAATATTTTAAACTCTGTTTTTTTAATATGATCGCGTTCATAATTTTTTATTATGAGAATATCTGAAGAGCCAAAAATTATTCAAACATGAACATCACCATCATTGTGGTTTACATTAATCTGATAACTTGCGAAATAGGAAAAACAATTGGATCATTTTGAGCATGCTGTTTTACAAATGAAAATGCTGGCTCTTAATTTTAATTTATTTAAATTTTTGTTGTCGGTACTGTAGATTTTGTTTTTCAGAAAGGAACTCAATTAACTTTCTCAGTGGTATGGGGGTAGGTCTGAAATTGGTTGCTAATATGAGATTGGTTGGGTTTTTGCTATAAAATAAGCCATTTGGGGATTAGAACAAAAATAGCTTCCATTACTCTAAACTTTCTCCAATAGTCTTTTTTAAAAATCAAGCTTATGTCAAGTTGAGCATGACTGGGTCTATTCTCTCATCACTGCACTGATGCCTCTCCCGTGATCCGAATGGAGCATTCCATATGTGAATGGGGTGAATTGATTCCTTAATTTTTTTCAGGGACTTTTTAAAATGTGGGGCCAGCTCCTCAGTTGGTGTAAACCAGTGTCACTCCAGTGACTTCAATGGATTTCACTGTTGCACACCAGCTGAGGATCTGACTCAGGATCTTTAAAGGGATTGCAAGGCGTTAAAATGAAAAAAAGGTGGTGATTGGACACTTTGCAAGAGTGCCTGTGCCTGCAGTTTTGTAAGAGTTAATTTTCTTTCCGTAATTGTTAGCTCTAATGTGGATAAGACCTCCACCTTGATATGATTCCTAGCAGATTAGGGATATTAGATAATTTCCTTCTATTTATTGTACTGCTGCGCTGTATTATCTTTCTATCACTCAGATAATTACTAAGGAAATCTACATAAATTGTTTTTGGCTAGCACAAGGAACTGCTAAACACTGGCATGATGTATTGATGTTTTACACAACAAAAGTTTTCCTCCTGTCATTGTACAATAAATAAAAAGATATGTATCAAAATGCAAAGCCTTTCATGGCTTTTTAAGAACAAAGCAAATAAAATACAAGATGAGCATGGAAGCAAAACCTAGAGGGTTCCTTAAACTGAAGCAAAATTAAGAACTCTGAAGCCTGGAGTACAGTACATATTAAACACTCGCATTCAAGTAAGCTGTTGTTTGCTAAATTATGAATGTATGTAATTAAAATCTAGTGGCTGTTTCTGTGAAAGATTTACAATGTTATTTCATCGTTTGTCATGGCTAATTAACAATATTAGATGAAGTTTTTCTTCTTCAAAGGTCTGATTTTTTCTCATTTATTTATGTCAGAAGTGATAAACAGAGTAGTTAAAAGCTTCTCCGGGCGCAATAGTGAGAAAAGCAACATGTTCTTTTACACCTCAAAGGTTCAAGGTTCAAATCCCAGTGGAGTACAGCAACTCTGTCTTCTTTATAGTGAGAATAATTAAAAATTTCAATGTGCAGAAAGTAAAAGTCTTAAATATAGCATGGAACAATTCAATATACAGGAGAAAGTACTGTAACTTGATTAATGAATAAGTTAGAGCAAGTATAGAAAATGCAATAAATTAACCCAATCAGTTGCCTTAATAGTTGAGACAATCCTTGCATGCGTAAATGGAGCATGGCACAGGATTATTTTTCATTCCTCTTAAGTATGATATGACCTTGCAATGTGATTTTTCCATTTATATTCACGCTGTTCATCCTGAAGTATCACCAATTGCTTCAGACTACACATGGATTGCTTTATTCACCACCAAAATGCGACCACTTCTGGGTGGAAAATTCTGTAGCACAATATAACACAACAACTTAGACCAAGAAATGCAGAATAAATATTTCATGTGACGTGCAGGGGGAGTTTAGGTAGGAAGAATGTAATTGCCCAACGTGGAATTTGGCCACAATCCTGTGGTTAACACTGCTACTGAAATAATGACTTGGGATCTTTAATGAGAAGTGGTCAGGGCCTCCATTCAGTGTCCTTTGTTGGTGCTTGGTGACGACTATAATCAGATGAAGTGTTTTGAAACTGGGAGCCATTTAAATATCTCGTATAAATACTTAGTTCTGAAATGACAAATATGCCTTTTTTCCCCTTTCAGCCACAGCAACAGCAAGTGGCTACACAGCAGTTGGCCTTTCAGCAGCAGCTCTTACAGATGCAACAACTGCAGCAGCAGCATCTCCTGTCTTTGCAGCGTCAAGGTCTGCTAACAATCCAGCCTGGCCAGGCTACCCTGCCTTTGCAGCCTCTTGCTCAAGGTACGTGTGCAGTCTGGAAACCACCAACCGTAAACCTCCATTTCGGGGCTTTAGAGAAGATAACAAATACATCTAAAATGGAATAAAAGCTCCCATAGGCTGGTAAAGTAACGAATAAGAAATGAACTGACAGGCAGGTTGCTCATTAGAAGGTTTTGTGGCTATTCTGGGAAGCACAACACTGAAGTGTTGGATTGCTCTCACTAGAAATGGGCAAACAGTATGGAGCCTGAGTTGAGTTTGCATAAGTGTCCGGAAGGCTGGATATGAAGCTCCTGGGTCTACAAATCTAGATATGTTCAGAATAGGCTTGCTAGCAAGATTGCTGGCACTTTGGTCATGGCTAGGAATAGCAGGAGAATAGCCTTCCGTATGTTATTTCGGCACTGCGGGTCCTTCCTGACGGGAAATCAGACGTGGGAAACTCAGACCCAAACATTGCCGATCGCTGGGAGTTTGATTCCCTTTTATGTCTAGATACGGGCAAAGGTGGGACTGTTTGGGTTTTTTCCATACCTGTTTTACTCATCCTTGATTCCGCTGCAAGTACACACACAGTGGACCAGATCCTCAACTGGTATAAATTGGCATAGCTCCATTCTCCTCTCAAACTGAAGCAAATTGGGATTAACTCCACTGAAGTTAGTAGAGTTATGCTGTCATAAATTGAGAATCAGACCCCATGTATCTTTCCACAGTCATACTCTGCAGTAAATAAGTACTTCTCTGAAGTACTTAGGTTATTAAAGATTTCTTTAAATGTGTCAGTAGGTCCTTTTTATTTAGCAATACTTTTGAGAATGGTTAAAAATCTATAGTTTATTCCTCCTCTACTTCATTTTCACTGGGTTTATCTGTGTTACAAACCTTAAGACCCTGAGACCAGCCTCAGCCCAGGCTGTTCTTATTAAGAAGGCAGATTGTTCAAAGTTGGCATGGCTTGAGGAGGAGCAGGTCTTTAAAATATAATGCTGGTATTTCTGAAGTCTTCTCTCCCCTTCTCCCATTCCCTCCCCCCCAAAAATATGTGCTAAATATAAAGAGTCATCTTAGCCTCTCAAGTCAGCTCAGGTTGAATGATTTGGTTTCTTCAAAGCTGTTAACAGCCTCAAGGCTCCTACCGATTGCTAAACCCTGTCGTGTATTTATATTTAGATACACTCACTTAAACAGAGGGAAGAAGTTCTACTCCCCTATCTCCTCGTTCCCCCAAAAATATACATATTGCTGCCAGAGGGAGGGTGATATAGCCAGCAAATTCTAACCCCAGTGGACGTAGGGAAATACCTATGTGTGGTGGAATCCTCATTGGCCAGATTGGGTCACATGTTTACTTCCATCCCTTTCCTAACTTCAGTTTGAAGAAATTCAATTCTGCATGTGCCATTTATGCCTCGTCTGCCTAAATAATGGAGGTCTGACATGGACTTGCCATGCACGTGAATCTCCCGTTGATTTCAGTGGAGGCTGTGTCTGTGAGGGCTGCAGGATTGGGCCTTTGATATTTACTCCTCCTCTAGCGCATCTTTGTCAACGGGGTGGGGGGGAATAGTATGGAACTAATCCAGAAAAAAGGCACGTAGGCTATGCCATTTGTACTTGCAAAATGTTACAACGTGCATTAATTACCCCTTCAGATTTATTGTTGGAAACATCGCAAGCTGTTCCTACACACCCACTGGACTCAAGCTTCAACCTTTCTAATTTTTCCCACAGCTCCTATACTATTAAGTTTGCTCAGTAAGGTTCATTGTATAGTACATCAGTTAAGCTGTCCAAAAGAGGGCAATTGGGCAGTGACAAGACACGCTCATGTGTAATGTGAAAGAAATGAATGTGGTGATGCATGAAGTGTAATCTGTGCAGTAACACATCAGAGACACCAGTAGGTAATTCAGCAGTCATGGCATTGATTGATATGGTTAGCAGTGTAGTATAACTATTAGTCCCTACAACATTAGGAAAGGAACATATTTAAAACCTAAGGGGTACCTAGCTGCATGCCAGAGTTCACATAAATATAAACAAAGGTGCTTCAGAGGTCTGATTCTAGTGGGGAAATGAACTATAGTGTTGATATCATCCCTTGTGAAACTGGGACTCAGTTTAAAAAAAAAAAAAGTAACTTGAGAATTCAGGCAGGTTGGAATACAACACATCTTTTTTTTTTATCACAGAGAGAGATGATGGCTTAAAACTGATGTCATTATGAGGTTTAAATCAACTTTCTGCTTGCTTGAACATGGTCACCTGGGTATGGAGGTACAAGGACAAAAAGAGGTTGAGCAACTCGGTTTGTCTTTGAGCCAGTGATACCTGGGGTTGTGAAATTGAGTTCCATGAACAGTAATCTGTCAGCTGTCCCCACAACATACATTTTTTAAACCCGTGCCTGCATTTTCTTTCATAATGAAAGGGACTAGTTGTCCTGAAAAATGCAATGATGAGCCAGAGTTATGGTTTAAAATAATTTGTAATAAACGCTTTAATTTAAAAAAGAATCCCTAGTGTATCCTTTTCTTTTGAGAATTTTTTGCCAGACTGGAACAAATACTGTAAAACACACAAAAACCTCGAGTAAATGTAGACATGTATTCATGACAAATTAAAGCATTTGCTACCTAGTCATATTCTAGATGGCATATAGTAGTTGTAATATTAATAAATGTTTCCAAGGAGTGAACCACAGTTTATATGTAATTTTTGTTTTGGTTTTCAGAATTCGTTCATTGTTTAAACTACATTTTTGTTTCAGCAGTTGCCTATTGTCTTATACAAAATAGCACATCCTCTAATGTTATATTTTTGTAATCTCTGCAGTATCGTGCAGATCTTGGACACATCTATAATCTGGATTTTACATCTGTACACAGCCACAATTTTAAAATAAACCCAATTTCAGCAGTATTCTGAACTATATTAGGGCTAGTTCTTCAAAATCAGGCTATAAAATTAAACTTGCAAATCTCACTTCAGGTCACTACTGGGCGCAAATAATAGGATGGAGGCATCTAGTTGTCTGATTGCTCTCACAGATTAGGCAGTATAGGTCTAAATCCTGTTGTTTGCACTTGCAAAGTTGCAGACATAAATAATTGTGTCCACAGATAGTTGCACGTGCAATTTTAGAGGATTGATTTAAAACTTGGCCCTTAATATTAAAGTGAAATTATATAAGGGTAAATTACATAATTTATTATGTAAATTGCCATATTTGATTTAATTTTTAGCATTTGTTCCATCATTTTGGAAGATACTTTTAGTGGCACTGTATTTAAGAACCATTTAGATTGATGAGCAATAAGCATATCTTTCAACTATTAATTTGACAATTTAGTTAGGAATCATCTTTGGAATTATTGTTGAAGAGTTAAATTTTGCTTTCTAACCAAGTGATGTCCGTGATTTGGTCATTTTAAAGTAACTGGTATCACTTGTGTATATATATGATGTCATAATTACAATTCTGTTATCTAATCCCGTCTGACCTGAAACCCTGGCTCTTATTACCTACATTGGTTGCTACTACACAGCATTTGCTGCCTTCCACTTCCAAACTGAACGTTACCCTCATACATTGAAAGGTGACTATAATTCTCATTAATGTTAATATGAGTTATGTTTGTGTATTAAGTGTAGACCAAACCTACTGACTTTGGAGGAGGGGGTTATTGCTATAACACTGAAAAGCTTTGTCTTCAAAAATGATTAGGTGAATTCTAAAGATCTACTACTACCAATTAAAAATCTACTACTTGTCTACAGATACAGAGAGTGGCAAAAAAAAAAAAAAAGGACTATTATTCTTTCTCTATTTGTTTATTCCCCCAAAATAAAAATAGGTGTCGTGGACTCATATGGTCTCATATCAATATGTTATCAACAACAGACAAGCCTATTCACTATTGTTGCAATTGAGTAAACAGTGGCGTAAGGGTCAGCCCTATTCACAGGTAATTGTTAGTGTGCAGACAGTCCTGTCAAGCATGTTAGCTAAAAATACATCCCGCACTGTCACTTTGCAAGGTGTTTGAAAATAATCGCCCAGATGCAGCGAAACAGGACATAGGCTTGTGTACTGACCTTTCTCTTTGTTTAATTTGCCTCAGAGGTTTATTTTCAGGGGACAAGTAATAATTGAATATGTCTAATAACTAAATGCTCATTTGGGACAAAATCCATCAAAATATAATTGGCATTTGATATTTATGAAAGAAAAATGACTTGGCTTTAGAGCGATAGATGTGTCCTAAGACTGTCTGATCACCTAATGTATAAATTGAAGCTTCTTTTATAATATATATTAATTGCAGATACTTAAGCATTTTAGCATTTTTTGCAGTGAACCGTTAGCAGAGACCAACTGTTTTTGTTAATGCTACTCTCAGAAAGGCGGGGAAGGTTATTGGTCTGTCGTGCAATAATTTACTCCTCTTTGATATGCAAACGATCCACGGTGAATATAAAAAAATCCTATCAGACTCATTTCACAGTTCTTAACCACTTAGATTCTCTGGAGTCTATCGCCTCATTAGACCAGTGCTCTCCAAAGCTAGCATAATTAAAATCTTTAACAGTTTAGCAAAGTAAAGATGTTTGGCTGATCACGTTGAGATGATTATCTATCCATTGTATTCTAAATGACAAAAATAAATTAAATTTAGACCTTGGCATTTTTTATTATGTGTTTCAAATGAATATAATGCATACTGCCTCCCCCTCCCAATACCGTAGGTTTGGTAGGATACATGCCTGTTTGAGCTGCTGCTGTGTATTCAGAAAATGGCAGATTTCCTTAGGATAGCTGCAGCGTTACAACACACTGAAACATGAAAACTGGACCAAATGCCCAGGAAGTCCTATTCTAAAGCAGACTTTTTTTTTTTTTTTTTAAAACTTTTAGGATTTTATGTTTTAGATAGATGTCTTTAAAAAGATGCTGTCACTTCTGCTTATTCTATTCTCCCATACCGTTCTGAAATAGCATTGAAATGTTCTGTGATGTGAGAACGTGAGGGGTTAGATCATGCATTCTGAATAAAGATTATGTTTATAACATGATCAAAGTCCAGGTTGTATTGGGCCATGTTACTCCCTGATGTATCTCCAAAGATGAATTTTATTCCACTGGTGTTGTGTAAAGTTCTCTCACCTGGAATGCTGGTTGAACCTTGTAAATAAGGCTGGTGTCCATTTTGACGCTACTATGAAACAACATTTCTTGAAGCTTATTTTATGTTTTCATTTCACTTTTGAATGGCTCATTAGCATTGATCTAAGAAATGACAGTAATAATAGTGTTACTTGTATAGAAAGTTATACAGTTTTTCAATAGACACATCCATCAATTAAGTGAGCAGTACTAGAAACCAAAATTAATGAGAAAGATAGGTGTGTTAATGAAATAATCATAGTATAATCAATTTGACTGTTAAAATTTGAAAAGCATTCTAGGAAGACAATATGAATTCATAATTTATGTCTAAAAGTGATTAATAAAAACTGTATTTAATAATAAAGCTATTTGTCATCATTTAAAACTAAAGCACAAAATTAGTCATATTGTGGTTCATGTTGTCATAATAACACAGTTGAATAATTTTATTTTAAGATCTTCCTTGCTTCTAAAAATAGATTAGAACGTATTCAATTCTTTCTTTTTAAAAAATGCAACAAAACTTCTTCAGATGGCTGCAGAGTATAGCCTGGCCCCACTTTCTTGCGGTGATCTCACAGGCAAAACTCATTTGGAGCTCTGCCTCCAAAGGGACTTTGGGATTGGGCCCTCTGGTACAAAAATCATAGAAATACTAATTAACAGCACATATTTTTCCCCCAGAAATCTTGCTTTAATAGGAACTGCATGTTGGGCGCTAATCAATTTAGCAGGAAACATAAAGTGTTACTTCTGTATTAGCCTTTAGTTTAAAAAAAAAAACACACAGAAAACTAACACTAGGCTTTGTTTACTGACTCTTTGATTTAATTACTGTTTTAAGAGGGCCGAATTAGCTGTTAATTGATTTAATTATCCAATTTGTTTGTTTCAGGCATGATTCCAACAGAACTGCAGCAGCTCTGGAAAGAAGTGACAAGCTCTCATACAGCAGAGGAAATAGCAAGCAACAACCACAGCAGTTTGGACCTGTCCACCACATGTGTCTCCTCTTCTGCACCTTCTAAGACCTCCTTAATAATAAACCCACACGCCTCAACGAACGGACAGCTCTCGGTCCACACTCCTAAAAGGGAGAGGTAGGTGCTGGTAGAATTTACATCTATCTACGTGTAAATCAGGATCTGGTTACTGTGATATTGGTGACTCTAACGGGAGATTATTTACAATGGTGGCCGATAACCTGGCCCACATTTTGCCCTTGCTTTCTCCTGCCATTGATTGCAGTGAGTTTGCAGAAGATTTATGACGGGGCAGAATTTGGCCCTTTTGGGCTGGTCTACACTGGGGGGGTCGATGTACTTACCCCGCTGTGAGGATGGCAGCAAATCGACCGCCGCGGCTCCCCCATCGACGCCGCTTACGCCTCCTGACGAGGTGGAGTACGTGCGTCGATTCGGGGATCGATTTATCGCGTCTAGATGAGACGCGATAAATCGATCCCCGATAGATCGATTTCTACCCGCCGATCCGGGCGGGTAGTGAAGACGTGCCCTTTGTTTAGGTCTGTATGGCTTGCTAACTGGATGAATGCTACACCAATGCATGCATGATTAGTTTATTAAAATGTTTTGAATATGATCTGTGATGTGAAGATTATAATTGCTTTAACTTTTCCAACATGGCATTAGTGTTACTGCTGATGTGCCCTAGGGATTTAAATCAGGGGTGAGGAAGAATTAGTTGGTCAGTACCACCCATTTTATCATACATCATCCACCTTGTTACCATGTTGTAGTTCCTTGTCTTACGTTATGTTATATGGTTGCAGATCTTCTGTACTCACCCACTCCCACAAAACAGAACAGACTTGAATTCTCCAGGTTGATAAGAAGTGCAATATTTCTTTTAAAGTACCTGTAAATTCAGATTACTGGCACAGGGTTGGTTTTTAAAAGTTTGAACTAATTTGTACTTGCCTGGGTGGTAGTTTGAAAGTGGTGGCTTAATTCGGGGGTTGTCTGTTGAAGATGCTTCTTAAGTATGGTTCCACTTGAGGTGAAGACTATTTCATTGAGGTTCTTTCACCCCTGACATTTCTGCATCACTTCCATAAGGTACTTCTAACGTTGTATTTTTAACTATTGATTACAGTGAAATATATGCTCCTAAGTAAAGGGCAGTTCTTGTTCTTGTTTGGAAAGCTACTGTAAGAGTTCAGGCTTAAGGTTTAGTCTGAGCCCTGTGCGTGCGCGTACACACACGTGTCAAACCAAGATTCATATTCTATGAAACAGAGTTTCTGTGCTTGCAAAACGATACCAGACCCTTACTAGCCAGAGACTGATATGAAAGATGTATCCCCCCCCCCCCCACCCTTGTGAGGTCCTGCAACATGCTCTGATGAGAAGTGCAGTTCCTATCCCCAGTGACATGATGGACAGATGTGTTTGGAATTCCAACCAGAGAGCCTGCTCTGTCTTTCATATCAACTCTCACCTCCTTTTAGCTGCTGGAAGGAGATCCTTCCCTCCGAAGCCCCTACTGTAGTCTTCATCCCTCTACCAGCCTGCCAACTGCTGGAGATAGGACATCTCTGCTACTCCATCCTTCCTCCAAGGAGCCTCTGGTTTTCTACATAGCTTTCCCAAGGAGCACAGTGAAATTGACACGATTCCTTTCCCATTCTCTTTTGTCCACAGAGATTCTGAGCAGTAACGTTAAGACTGACCAAAGTCTTGCTTTTCTCTTTGCTGCTAATTGGAAACAGCAGCAGAGGGACTGGAACTGGGTCTGCAGACTAAGGAAGGCAGTACTGTGTACATTAGTTGACATTTCAGAAGATTCTCTTCGCTAGCCTAGAAATTTAATGTTTAGTTTTTGATGAAAGCTAGATTCCACAGAAATGGATAGATTTGTTCTTCCTTCACCCTTTTACTCACGGCCTGGGAGTTATTCCAGTGATGGAAAGCATGTTGATAAGAAAACTACATGAACGCATTGCGTATCTTTCTAACATTAAGAAAATCAAACTGTTATGTATAGGTACAATATATAGAACACACCCTTGAGAAAATTACTGTTGAGATATTGTTATATACAGTAGGAATAATTTTGTAACTTACATAGGAAGGACTCTGACGTTCATATGAGTGTACATTCATATATAGATATGAAACCAATGTATTGGTTATAACACACACCATGCAGGATATCGTTTCCATGAAGGAATAGATGGGGTACTAAACTAACTTGATAGTGTTTAATTAAAAGCAAAGATACAATCTAATCATTTTGTACAGCTGAACAAGAAGAGGTTTTTTTATGATTTTTCTGGTCATATTTGTACTCCTGTATTTTTTAAAAATATCTCAGTTTTTTCAAACAATTAAAGACCACACAATGGAATGGGTCTGCTCTCACTTAGTAGGAAACAATAGGTCCCTCCCTAAGTTAAGTTTGGAACACAGTGGAGATAGAATCACAGGACTGGAAGGGACCTCGAGAGGTCATCTAGTCCAGTCCCCTACACTCATGGCAGGACTAAGTATTATCTAGACCAACTTTTTGGCCTGAGGGCCGCATCGGGTTTCCAAAATTGTATGGAGGGCCGGTTAGGGGAGGTTGTGCCTCCCCAAACAGCCAGGCATGGTCCAGCCCCCGCCCCCTATCCGACCCCCCCTGCTTCTTGCTCCCTGATGCCCCCCCCGGGACTCCTGCCCCATCCACCCCATCTCCCCCGCTCCCTGTTCCCTGACTGTCCCCGGAACCCCCGCCCCTGACTGCCCCCTGCCGCCCCATTCAACCCCTCCTCTCCTTCCTGACTGCCCCCCCCGGGACCCGTGCCCCCATTCAACCCCTGTCCCCTGCCCTCTGAGCGCCCCGACCCCTATCCACACCCCGACCACCACTCTGAACTCCTCTGCCCTCTATCCAACCCCCCCCCCCCATTCCCTGCCCCCTTACCATGCTGCCTGGAGCACCAGTGGCTGACAGCGCTACAGCTGTGCCGCCCAGAGCACCAAGACAGGCAGCCGCGCCACTCGGCTGGAGCCAGCCATGCCACCGTGCAGCACAGAGCACCGGGTCAGGCTGCGGCTCTGCAGCTACGCTGCCCGGCAAGAGCTCGCCGCCCAGAGCATTGCGCTGGCGGCGCAGTGAGCTGAGGCTGTGGGGGAGGGGAAGCAGTAGGGCAGGGGTTGGGGGCTAGCCTCCCGGGCCAGGAGCTCAGTGGCTGGGCAGGAGGGTCCCGCGGGCTGGATGTGGCCCGCGGGCCATAGTTTGCCCACCTCTGATCTAGACCCTTCCTGACAGGTGTTTGTCTAACCTGCTTTTAAAAATCTCCAATGATGGAGGTTCCACAACCTCCCTAAGCAATTTATTTATTCCATCTATGGGATTTATGATGTAATGGATGTATGAATCCATTTTGAAATAGGAACTTGCTTTCCATATTATTGTAAAACAGAGCTGGAAATATTTTGTCTATACACTATATTATAAATGTTGGTCTGAAGGCAATTACTTTTCAAACAAGGTGATACGTATGTTTTGTTCGTGAAATTCCACGCAATTAATTAGAAAGTTATTAATATATCGCTGAAGGTTTTGAGATGTAATAGGTTAGCGAGAGACCTTAGAAAAAACCTCAGTAGAATTTATAATACACAGTATATTAGTTTATTACAATACTTATTTGTTTATCTATTAAATTCCCTACATTCTCAAAATATAAAAATACAAACACAGCTGGGAATTAAAATAAGAGGGCTCTGGACTTTGCTTTGCCTTTCTCTATTTGAGGTACTGAAGGTTTATGCCACCCATTTGCTGCAGTGATTGAATTACATCTTTATCCATAAGGAGAGCAGGAGACTATACACAGCAGAATGCCTGCTGATGCACTTAAGGTTTTTGTAGCAGTCTCATCAGGCATTGTGGTGCCTGCCTAGATTTCACATGACACACAAAACTCTTCTTGTTTAGATGTATTTCACTCCCTCCCTCTTCGAAAGAGTATTTGTGTACCATCCCTGTATTCAGGGTGGTAAATGAATAATAAGAAAAAGTACCCCTCTGATGGGTTGAGATGTATATGTAAAAGCAAACAGAGGGAAGAAACCTACAGAATAATAGCAGAGAGAACATAGACTTCATATTTTTGTTCTCATCTAATACCAGATCGAAAAATTAAGCCTGGGAAGTAAGTATATGGATCTGATCCTGCACTCAGTACTCAGTCAAAACCCATAGTGACATCGATGCAGATTTTGCTCAAATAGGAGGGGATGTCAGGATATGGCCTGGTGTGTCAGGAAGTGTATGAATGGCAGTTCTGAACATCAATCTAGACCTAAGACTTCTCACTAGTAGGCTACAAGCGGTACATGAACTTCTTGGCAGTACAGAAAGTTCCTTTCTTAGCAACTATCCTATGGATAGTTTTGGGCGGTTGCTTTTCTGCCCAAAGAATGGTCTTTTGGAGGGTACAGCAGATTGCCTCTTGGTGCCCTTTCTGTTCTGTATGGCATTCTGAGGAGGGTTAGCGAGAAAAGGGATTCCAATGGCTTCAGCAACTGTTGAGACACTGCAGTGATGGGCACTAGTACAAAACCCTAAAACTGACAGATGACTCTCCGCTCTGGGGGCCAGATCCTGGCGCCATGCCACAACACGTTTGCACTGCTGCAGTGGCTGCACGAATGGGGCAAGCGAAGATTCCTCCAGCATGGGAGACTCCCCTGCACGTAGGGCATGGGCCTAGAGGAGGAAACGGGGCCAGCACCTACATCCCCTTTATCCCCCTGTCCCTCTTGGGTCTGTATCGAGCACTGCTTGGCCGGACTCAAGGATTGGAGCCTGTCTCTTTTATTCCATCTGACCCAGCTCGTTCAGCAGAACAGCCAGTTGTGTGAATTGGATTGGGGCTGAGAGGAGGGCGAACAAGCTGTGGCTCAGTCCGGGTCAGATGGAGCTCATGGTAGCAGAATGGGGAGAGCCACAGGAAGAGTTGGCAAAGATGAAATCAGCATCCTGACTGGAGGAATGTAAGCACCGCTCGTTATGCAGATCTGCCGCTTGGGCTGGCTGGATCCCCAGGGGCTTCTGGGGTCTCAAGTTGCCACTAAAGCCAAGTGCC